AAACCCCAAAACCCCGCTCGATAAAATAAATAGATAATGAAATTGAAATAATTTGAATTGAAATATCTCAATCTTAGAAATGTCAAACTAAAGAGTGTAAGTACTATTGTTAATTAAAATTGAACAAATTTAGTCTCGATCATAATTAGCTAGCAGCTGAGACTAGACTGAGATCAATTCGAGACAGATAACAGCAGCTTTAAGTACAGTAGGTGGCGAGGTAGTATTAAAATCAGATCCGACCTTCTGACATGCAAAATCACAGCTTGATAATCTAAAACAACAGTCTCAATACAAGCAATTAAATAAACATCAGTGCATAAAACATCTCAGGCAATAACCTAGATCCCAACACCAGTGGCACAAGTGGTGGAATAACCTTAACCTAAAATTAGCAAATGATGCCTTTGAGGAAAAGTATGAATGGCTATAACTAGAACAGGTAAGATAAGAGGAAGTCGTCAATGGAGCTGCAGATGGAAATCGAGCAGTTCAAAAAGCAGAAGAATGGCGATGAGTAAAAGACCTCAAACATCAAGGTGCAGATGGATAGACTCAAGAGACTCTATGAAAAGTATAGGAAGATGGTGCTTACTCACGGCTAAGAGCATCCTATTAATCTAGATGGCAAGAGACTGATCTAGCTTGCTAGTCAGAATTTTACAACTGAACAGCTGATAGAAGAGGTATAAATAATAGAAGCTGAGTTAAAGAGACATATAAAGCTAATGGAAGATAGAAGCAAATACTCTATGCGTGACCCTGGAAGTCAAGCTTCAAGAATGCTGAATAGTTCTAAGATAAATGCTAGAGATGGATAGAACTAATGTGTTTGTGGAATAAATGCAGGTATCCTTTGTTGGCAGCACAATGATCCAAATAATCCAGCTAATTAGGATACAATTAGATTTGCCAATAACATCCAAGGCACTGAAATTTCAGGAGTGGCAAAGTCAAGCTTAAGAATTCGTTTGAATCAACTTTAAAGAGTAGAAAAGCAACTGGAAGCAGAACTGTTTGAAATGGATGTTAAAATACAAAAAGTAAAGGCAAAGCAGAGTGATGAAGCCCGTGAAAAGCTTAGATAAGATATTGATGACACAATGAAGGTGCTGAGTAAGCTGAAAAAGTAAGCAGGAGAGGGTATCTTCGACAAAGAGATTCACTAGTTAACTGAAGAAGTTCACATAATGAAGAAGACCTTGTAAAATCAGGAGCTGAAATTGATTGATATGAACTAATAATATGTAGATGATTAAGATGATAACTAGTAAGTTAAGTAGCTGCAGCTATAGTAGCAATAGCTCTAAGATTTTGAAGACTAAATGGATGAGGACATGCCAGAGACAGACTTGAAGTACACAGATACTTAGAATTAGAAGATGACAATTTAAGGAGAGGACAAAGAAGCTGATGAAGAAGTGAAGCATATTCAAGAACTGTAAGCGCAGTCTATCTAAGTTAGTTATAAGAATAGCAAAAAAATAAACATAAAAGAACTAGATATCAATCAGGACAAAAAGGACTCTGAGGCAAGCAATGCCAAACATGAATTTTATGATGAGTAAAATATCACCTAGAATAATGCTAGCGTTAATGCTTCATAACTGATGACTTATGAGAAGTAAAATGAGACGCAGCCAAATAACTCTAGAGCAGGGAAGAACTCCTCGCATATGAACACCTCAAACTTACTGAACGAGCAAGACTTAGAGATATAGGAGCTTCATAGAAAGATTAAAGACCTAGAAGAGGAGCTAAACATGCCTAAGAAAGTCTTTGAAGAGAAACTTTCTGTAAAGCTGCGGGAAGAAGTTGATATGAACAAGAGACGCATCGATGAAGAGTATAAGAGAAAGCTACTAGAGGAAAAAAGAAAGATCACATAATCAGCGGTAAGTTTAATTATTTTTGAATTAATATATTTCTAGGTAAAGGACAAATAGGATTTATATGACGAGAATAGAGAGTTATAGTTAAAGATAGAAACTATAAAGGCTATGCTGAGAGGAAACTGAAAGCAAATTATAATCTGATAACTAATTTTAGCTCATTTAAATATTAATTTCATAAATCATTCTTTAATTGTTAGCATTCGGGGTTTTGGGGTTTTGGGGTTTTGGGG